AACTCATAAAACATCCCTTTAATAGTACTGACAGTGACATTCCTCTGATGTTTAATAATAATAACATGACAGTGACACAGTGATAATAATATAACAGTAATAACATGATAGTGACACTTCTGTGATATGGTCCCTCAGGAAAGGCCAGGCCAGTGATCCAACAGATCCCCAGCAGCAGAACAAACAGCAGAGGAGAAGGTACAGTTCACTTACAGTGCTAAATTCTAAGTTCTTAAATTCTCAGCCTCTGTCCTGTTTCCAACTAAAGGGCCTAATCTTTACATACACACTGACTTAATGAGTCAGATGAGTGGAAACCCAGTGACCAGCCCAGATGGTCATTGATGTGCTCTATTTCTATGTCCAATCACAGTTGTACACAGATAACAATTTACTCATTGTGTGGTTCTGTTTGTCAGTAGTTACATTAGTCCTGGAGTCATTTCTGTAAAAGTAAGAGTTAACTCTCTCATTCATCCCCTCTCTCCCACACACATTTGTTCTCTCTCCCTGAAAGGTCATACACAAACAACATTCCATCTCATTCTCTTTCCCCTCGCAAACTATTAACTCTGTTTTATTCACCGCCTCCCACCTGCAGGTCACGTTCCCGTGGCAACACCAGTAGTGGCAGCGAGTCTGAGAACTCCACCCGGGATCATCGTAAAAAGAGGAACCGGTGAGTGATGTCACTGTGCTCCCTACAGGTATAAATTACATATACAAAGCTCTATAGTAATCAATTAAATGTATTTATAAAGCCCTTTTTACATCAGCAGATGTCACAAAGTGCTATACAGAAACCCAGCCTAAAACCCCAAACAGCAAGCAATGCAGATGTAGAAGCACAGTGGCTAGGAAAAACTCCCTAGAAAGGCAAAAACCTAGGAAGAAACCTAGAGAGGAACCAGGCTCTGAGGGGTGGCCAGTCCCCTTCTGGCTGTGCCGGGTGGAGATTATAACAATACATGGCCATTAAGGCCAGAATTTTCTCCAAGATGTTCAAACGTTCATAGATGACCAGCAGGGTCAAATAATAATCACAGTGGTTGTAGAGGTTGCAACAGGTCAGTACATCAGGAGTAAATGTCACTTGGCTTTTCATAGCTGGGTATTTAGAGGTTGAAATAGCAGGTGCGGTAGAGAGAGAGAGTTGGAAACAGCAGGTCTGGTACAAGGTAGTACGTCCGGTGAACAGGTCAGGGTTCCATAGCCGCAGGCAGAAGAGTTTAAACTGGAGCAGCAGCACGACCAGGTGGACTGGGGACAGCAAGGAGTCATCAGGCCAGGTAGTCCTGAGGCATGGTCCTAGGGCTCAGGTCCTCCGGGAGAGGAAGGAGAGAGGGAGAGAGAATTAGAGAGAGCATACTTAAATTCACACAGGACACCAGATAAGACAGGAGAATAACACCAGATATAACAGACTGACCCTAGCCCCCCGGCACATAGACTACTGCAGCATAGATACTGGAGGCTGAGACAGGGGGTGTCGGGAGACACTGACACCACCACCACTACCACACCACCACTACTACTACTACTACTACTACTACTACTACTACTACTACTACTACTACTACTACTACTACTACTACTACCACTACTACTACCACTACCACTACCACTACCACTACCACTACCACTACCACTACCACTACCACTACCACTACCACTACTACTACTACTACTACTTCACCCTCATATGCTGTACATGGAGGTATTGCTCCCAAGACACCTATATTCCTAAGCCAGTGTCTGTAGTGGACGTTGTAAATTGAAGAGATAAAGCATATCATCAGGCTGCTATTGTTGTCTGAATGATACCATATCTTATTGAACAGCTATATCATATTGTAGGCCCACAATGGCCCCCCTAACCGGGTCATACGATACACTATAGACAGTCTCAAGTGTCTAAATATCTCAGCGCATGACCCAGCAAAACGAACTAGGAAGAAAATGAAAGAGTATATTTCATGGAAATCGTGTGTATCTGTTGTGACAGTGAAAATGGTGATGTATGTACTGTATAAGTTTGCGAGGTCCCTGAGGGTAGTGTAGATGGTTCATGTGTCATAGTAGTTGCAAGTTGCAACCGTACTATCATCTCTGTGTTTGTCTGTGCAGATAGAATTGAGGTTTTAATGCATATTCTTCAGGTCTATCGTGTAAATATGCTTGTATTGTATTTTCAGTGTAAAATGGTTCTACTGAATAATAACTCATATAACTGGTATTGATTATGATTGTATTATAATGGATCTTCCAGGTCTCGTCAAGAGAATGAGATGGTGGACTCTGGTCCTCAGTGGGAAGCTGTGCTCCGCCGTCAGAAGGAGAGATCTCAGAATGACCCAAACCACCGCCGCTCACGACACCGCTCTCGATCGTAAGTTACACAGACTACACCACACACGTCACACACAAACCTTCCTTCCCTCTCCTCCCTGCTCCAGAAACCCCCACCTCAGACCTGACCTGGGAAAATGTCTTAAGCTTTTAGATACAACATTATTGGGTATCACCTCAATTCCCCGACACAGAGAGAATAATGTCCATTCATTTCAATACAACCTCCCTGTCAGATGGTCCCTCTTATAAATAACCCTTCAACTATTAACCCCTATAATTCTGTGATGTCTTCCAGGCGGAGTCCAGACGTGCAGGCTAAGGAACAGCTGTGGAAGCACATCCAGTAAGTCCCATGACTCCAGTTATGAGGTTCAACAGTGGTCTTTTAGAAATTGGCCTTTTTTCCTGTGTTATGGAAAGTGAAATGTGTAACACTATAATAACTTAACCAACCATGACAAAGCATTTATAAACTATTTATAAAGTGTATACTGTTGAAAAATATGTACTTACACAGCCTTCATAGGGTTATGGGAAGAGAGATACAGTGGGGAAAAAAAGTATTTAGTCAGCCACCAATTGTGCAAGTTCTCCCACTTAAAAAGATGAGAGAGGCCTGTAATTTTCATCATAGGTACTCGTCAAGTATGACAGACAAAATGAGATTTTTTTTTCCAGAAAATCACATTGTAGGATTTTTAATGAATTTATTTGCAAATTATGGTGGAAAATAAGTATTTGGTCAATAACAAAAGTTTCTCAATACTTTGTTATATACCCTTTGTTGGCAATGACACAGGTCAAACGTTTTCTGTAAGTCTTCACAAGGTTTTCACACACTGTTGCTGGTATTTTGGCCCATTCCTCCATGCAGATATCCTCTAGAGCAGTGATGTTTTGGGGCTGTCGCTGGGCAACACGGACTTTCACCTCCCTCCAAAGATTTTCTATGGGGTTGAGATCTGGAGACTGGCTAGGCCACTCCAGGACCTTGAAATGCTTCTTACGAAGCCACTCCTTCGTTGCCCGGGCGGTGTGTTTGGGATCATTGTCATGCTGAAAGACCCAGCCACGTTTCATCTTCAACGCCCTTGCTGATGGAAGGAGGTTTTCACTCAAAATCTCACGATACATGGCCCCATTCATTCTTTCCTTTACACGGATCAGTCGTCCTGGTCCCTTTGCAGAAAACAGCCCCAAAGCATGATGTTTCCACCCCCATGCTTCACAGTAGGTATGGTGTTCTTTGGATGCAACTCAGCATTCTTTGTCCTCCAAACACGACGAGTTGAGTTTTTACCAAAAAGTTCTATTTTGGTTTCATCTGACCATATGACATTCTCCCAATCCTCTTCTGGATCATCCAAATGCACTCTAGCAAACTTCAGATGGGCCTGGACATGTACTGGCTTAAGCAGGGGGACACGTCTGGACTTGAGTCCCTGGCGGCGTAGTGTGTTACTGATGGTAGGCTTTGTTACTTTGGTCCCAGCTCTCTGCAGTTCATTCACTAGGTCCCCCCGTGTGGTTCTGGGATTTTTGCTCACCGTTCTTGTGATCATTTTCACCCCACGGGGTGAGATCTTGCGTGGAGCCCCAGATCGAGGGAGATTATCAGTGGTCTTGTATGTCTTCCATTTCCTAATAATTGCTTCCATAGTTGATTTCTTCAAACCAAGCTGCTTACCTTTTGCAGATTCAGTCTTCCCAGCCTGGTGCAGGTCTACAATTTTGTTTCTGGTGTCCTTTGACAGCTCTTTGGTCTTGGCCATAGTGGAGTTTGGAGTGTGACTGTTTGAGGTTGTGGACAGGTGTCTTTTATACTGATAACAAGTTCAAACAGGTGCCATTAATACAGGTAACGAGTGGAGGACAGAGGAGCCTCTTAAAGAAGAAGTTACAGGTCTGTGACAGCCAGAAATCTTGCTTGTTTGTAGGTGACCAAATACTTATTTTCCACCATAATTTGCAAATAAATTCATAAAAAATCTTACAATGTGATTTTCTGGGAAAAAAATGTCTCAATTTGTCTGTCATAGTTGACGTGTACCTATGATGAAAATTACAGGCCTCTCTCATCTTTTTAAGTGGGAGAACTTGCACAATTGGTGGCTGACTAAATACTTTTTTTCCCCACTGTATAACATGTCCTGGTGGTCTTATCCCTATAGGAAGGAGCTGGTGGACCCTGCTCCAGACCTCACAGAGGATCAGCTGAAGGAGATCCCCTACAAGAAAGTGGAGTGAGTGACTGCTCCTCCCTTCCTCACTAGATTAGAAAGTCTGTACATGTTAAGGATGAAAAATGGTCTAAAGGATAATCACAGACAGTTATGAATTGATCATGCTCAGTCAATACGTTGGGGTAGGGTCTCTTGATCTGCACTTGGATAAGAAAATAAGAGATTCAAAGCTAGACTGATGTGTTAATTATTGAGTCTGTCATTTTCATAGTCGTCTCTGTGGGGTCACAAATCTACTGCACCCTGTAGAGATACATTATGCTCCATTGAATTATGTCTCACCTCCTCTGAAGTTGATGGATTCATTATGGAGAGGGCTTATATCCCTAGGCTAAATAAGAGGTAGGCCTACTGTCCTACACAATAGATAACGTGAATGATTCTATGTTCATCCTTCCTTCCAGAACCCAAGGAGACCCAATAAAAATCCGGCACTCTCATTCTCCCCGGAGCTTCCGTCAGTACCGGCGCTCCCAGTGCTCCGAAGGGGAGAGATCCGTGCTCTCTGAGGTCAAGTGAGTCTAAACTGGTCTCAAGCCAGATCTTATGGTTTTTTACTCTTCAGAGTCTCACTAGAAACTTATCTCGGGTGGGATTCAATCCGAGGCGCGTTATAGAGGGCTGTCGACAATGTGCCTTTGAAAGGCAATTACCGACGTTCGTGGAGATCGCATTCACGGTAAACACTGCAAATGCCTGCCCAATTGGAAATTACCTTTAAATGTCAAGCGCGCTTCAATGCTGCAACGCTGCAACGCGCTTCGAATTGAATCTCGGGCACGACCCTAGTCTAGTTATTGTACTGACACTTGATGCTGATGGTTCTTTCCTGTATTGTTCAGCACCTTGAGACATGATAATGGGAGCTACAGTATGCTGTATAAATAATAATAATATATATGTACAGTATCATATGATTAAAGTTTTATCCTGTTTATGTCTTCCAAGATCTAACGCATCCCTACCCTCTCCACAGTGCCCGGACAGACCTTGTGCCCCCATTACCTGTGACACGAACAGCAGACATCCCAGGTTCCAGCTCCACCCCCTCTCAGGTCAGTCACAGACCCCTTTCCCAGCTCCACCCCCTCTCAGGTCAGTCACAGACCCCTTTTCCAGCTCCACCCCCTCTCAGGTCAGTCACAGTCCCCTTTTCCAGCTCCACCCTCTCTCAGGTCAGTCACAGACCCCTTTTCCAGCTCCACCCCCTCTCAGGTCAGTCACAGACCCCTTTTCCAGCTCCACCCCCTCTCAGGTTAGTCACAGTCTCCTTTTGCTGTGGTCAATGCCACACGTACAAGCTCTGACAAAGGCTGTGAGGCAGGCATGATAACAATTAATACAAGTTATACTTTGCAAGCGCATAGTGGGGTGCTTTCTTTCCTTTGAATGACAGTGCTACATGTCTAAAGTACAATACTAGATTTTATTACCAGATCCTCCAGTCAGTTGATTAATCTCCTAGCATTGATATTCCGATCGGTGTGTTTGTTGTGTGTTGTTTTCCAGAAGAAGCACGGATCCAAAGACACCCTGCTCCCAGAGATCATAGAGCATGATGTGAAGAGCAGCGCAAAGGTGGTGAAGACTGTCCACACTCCTAGGACTAAGGTCGAGACGTGACCTGACCAAAACACAACCACCACCGCAGAAACAATGCCACAATCTCCCACCAACACAAAACGACAAGAACACTCTGATTTCTTGAAAGAAAAAAAGAACTTGTGAAATACAATGGAGGGAGCTGTATATAGCACAATGGCTGTACTGTACACCAGTGACCAGCCCCACCTTGAAATACTCCTGTGTGTGTGTGTGTATGTATGTATGTTAGATAATGCATGAACAAAAAGGTCACTGGTCTATGTGCCAGTATGCTCTGCTGTCTTTTGGACCACACCACACTGGAAACCCTGTAAAGTATCTTCACATCATTTACAGTGGCTTGCGAAAGTATTCACCCCCCTTGGCATTTTTCCTATTTTGTTGCCTTACAACCTGGAATTAAAATGGATTTTGGGGGGCTTTGTATCATTTGATTTACACAACATGCCTACCGCTTTGAAGATGCAAAATGTTTTTTATTGTGAAACAAACAAGAAATAAGACAAAAAAACTGAAAACTTGAGCGTGCATAACTATTCACCCCCCCAAAGTCAATACTTTGTAGAGCCACGTTTTGCAGCAATTACAGCTGCAAGTCTCTTGTGGTATGTCTCTATAAGCTTGGCACATCTAGCCACTGGGATTTTTGCCCATTCTTCAAGGCAAAACTGCTCCAGCAAGTTGGATGGCTTCCGCTGGTGTACAGCAATCTTTAAGTCATACCACAGATTCTCAATTGGATTGAGGTCTGTGCTTTGACTAGGCCATTCCAATACATTTAAATGTTTCCCTTTAAACCACTCGAGTGTTGCTTTAGCAGTATGCTTAGGGTCATTGTCCTGCTGGAAGGTGTACCTCCGTCCCAGTCTCAAATCTCTGGAAGACTGAAACAGGTTTCCGTCAACAATTTCCCTGTATTTAGCGCCACCCATCATTCCTTCAATTCTGACCAGTTTCCCAGTCCCTGCCGATGAAAAACATCCCCACAGCATGATGGTGTTCTCAGGGTGATGAGAGGTGTTGGGTTTGCGCCAGACATAGCGTTTTCCTTGATGGCCAAAAAGCTCAATTTTAGTCTCATCTGACCAGAGTACCTTCCATATGTTTGGGGAGTCTCCCACCTACCTTCTGGCGAACACCAAACATGTTTGCTTATTTTTTTCTTTAAGCAATGGCTTTTTCCTGGCCACTCTTCCGTAAAGCCCAGCTCTGTGGAGTGTACGGCTTAAAATGGTCCTATGGACAGATACTCCAATCTCCGCTGTGGAGATTTGCAGCTCCTTCAGGGTTATCTTTGGTCTTTTTGTTGCCTCTGATTAATTTCCTCCTTGCCTGGTCCATGAGTTTTGGTGGGCGGCCCTCTCTTGGCAGGTTTGTTGTGGTGCCATATTCTTTCCATTTTTTTATAATGGATTTAATGGTGCTCCGTGGGATGTTCAAAGTTTCGGATATTGCTTTATAACCCAACCCTGATCTGTACTTCTCCACAACTTTGTCCCTGACCTGTTTGGAGAGCTCCTTGGTCTCCACGGTGCTGCTTGCTTGGTGGTGCCCCTTGCTTAGTGGTGTTGCAGACTCTGGGGCCTTTCAGAACAGGTGTATATATACTGAGATCATGTGACACTTAGATTGCACACAGGTGGACTTTATTTAACTAATTATGTGACTTCTGAAGGTAATTGGTTTCACCAGATCTTATTTAGGGGCTTCATACAATGCACACACCACTTTTCCGTTATTTATTTTTTAGAATTTTTTGAAACAAGTTATTTTTTTCATTTCACTTCACCAATTTGGACAATTTTGTTTATGTCCATTACATGAAATCCAAATAAAAATCAATTTAAATTACAGGTTGTAATGCAACAAAATAGGAAAAACGCCAAGGGGGATTAATACTTTTGCAAGGCACTGTATACAAGCACATTTCATGCTTAAGTCCCTGTTGACTAAACCTGGTCTCAGATCTGTTTGTGCTGTATAGCCAACTCCACAACTACCATAGGCTATACAGCACAAACAGATCTGAGACCTGGTTACTCCTGAGTGGGGGAAATATACTGTATCTACTGAGTACATTTGGTCTAGAGCAAGTCATACAACCACTCTCTTTGTCCCCTGTTCATGCACGTAGCAACGAGCTTATGATTAAGTGTCATACCACACTGACAAGTGTTATATTTTATTTTATTTATTTTTATTTCACCTTTATTTAACCAGGTAAACCAGTTGAGAACAAGTTCTCATTTACAACTGCGACCTGGCCAAGATAAAGCAAAGCAGTGCGATAAAAACAACAACACAGAGTTACATATGGGGTAAAAAAACATAAAGTCAAAAAATACAACAGAAAATATATATACAGTGTGTGCAAATGTAGCAAGTTATGGAGGTAAGGCAATAAATAGGCTATAGTGCAAAATAATTACAATTAGTATTAACACTGGAATGCTAGATGTGCTAGATATAATAAAACACATGTTCAGTTATTTTAACACTGATAAGTGTTATATAATAAAACCCATTTTCAGTTATTTTAACACTGATAAGTGTTATATAATAAAACCCATTTTCAGTTATTTTAACACTGATAAGTGTCATACAATCACATTGATTTCAGTCCAATGCTCACATGAAGGCTGACGATGAGACTATGGATTGCATAGCGACACACTGCACAGTGAGGTCCGACTGAGATCAATCATGTTTTACTGTGCATTTGCCTCCGATTTGGTTTGCGTTATTATTATACAATACAGTATTAAAACAGTGTTTCACTCATACATGTTAAGCTCCATATGGACACTGAGGCTGCATCCCAAATGGCACCCTATTCCATATATAGTGCACTACTTTTGAACAGACCCCTATGGGCCCTGTTAAAACAATTGTGTACTGTATAGGGGATAGGGTGCCATTTCGGACGCAGACTGGGTTATTATTATGTTATTATATTGTCAGGTGTGTTTACTGTAAGTACTCTCTACTGTAGGAAACTTTGCTGCTGGACCCCATTTTTTTTTGCACATGAGTACTGAATAACTGTTTTGTATTTCTCTGCTGTTTAAGGTTTAAGAAAAAAACACTGTGTAGCTACAATGTACGGTAGTTAAACTGGAATTTCAGTCCTTTTCAATAAATACATTCAATATGTCTCAAATATCGTTTTATGTTTCCTGATATGGTCAAATGCTCTGCAAGGGTGGTCAATGAGTTCCATTCTACCTGGTCCATCCTCCACAGGCTCTGGGTTGGTTTGATTTTGTATTGTTTCTATGGTTAACCTGTCACCACCAGAGGGAGGTAGATGACCAGGATTTGCTCTGTAATGGTTGACTGTAGAAAGACTACTTGAAGAGTGTAAAACTCGAGACCAAGATGATCATGTGTAACATGATAAGGCATTGATAATGGATTGCATCTATATATGCTTTTTCCTTCTACGCTTTTCAGAAGATCACTTAGTGTGACCTGATAGGTCAAGAAAAATCTGACTGCCATGTCTTTGTTCACCTATCCCAATAGTGTGCCGTTTGGTTCTTTAATCTTTCTTTTTTTAAGGGCATACTTGCAAACATCCTCATAGTATTGCTGAGTCATTATTACTTCCTAACCTGGTTCTCTGTGGGGATAGTGTCTGGGATGACTCACTCTGCTGGAATGACAACAAGATAGAAAGGCAGAGGTGAAAGAAGTAGTTTAGCAGCTGCTACAGCAGGGGTAGGCAACTAGATTCAGCCGTGGGCCGGATGGTCAGGGGTAGCAACACAATTACAATAATTTGTCCACTGCAAATTGACCACAATTAACCCCAATAATAGATTGTATTTGAAAATACAGTGGGGAAAAAAAGTATTTAGTCAGCCACCAATTGTGCAAGTTCTCCCACTTAAAAAGATGAGAGAGGCCTGTAATTTTCATCATAGGTACACGTCAACTATGACAGACAACTTGAGATTTTTTTTCTCCAGAAAATCACATTGTAGGATTTTTAATGAATTTATTTGCAAATTATGGTGGAAAATAAGTATTTGGTCACCTACAAACAAGCAAGATTTCTGGCTCTCACAGACCTGTAACTTCTTCTTTAAGAGGCTCCTCTGTCCTCCACTCGTTACCTGTATTAATGGCACCTGTTTGAACTTGTTATCAGTATAAAAGACACCTGTCCACAACCTCAAACAGTCACACTCCAAACTCCACTATGGCCAAGACCAAAGATCTGTCAAAGGACACCAGAAACAAAATTGTAGACCTGCACCAGGCTGGGAAGACTGAATCTGCAATAGGTAAGCAGCTTGGTTTGAAGAAATCAACTGTGGGAGCAATTATTAGGAAATGGAAGACATACAAGACCACTGATAATCTCCCTCGATCTGGGGCTCCACGCAAGATCTCACCCCGTGGGGTCAAAATGATCACAAGAATGGTGAGCAAAAATCCCAGAACCATACGGGGGGACCTAGTGAATGACCTGCAGAGAGCTGGGACCAAAGTAACAAAGCCTACCATCAGTAACACACTACGCCGCCAGGGACTCAAATCCTGCAGTGCCAGACGTGTCCCCCTGCTTAAGCCAGTACATGTCCAGGCCCGTCTGAAGTTTGCTAGAGTGCATTAGGATGATCCAGAAGAGGATTGGGAGAATGTCATATGGTCAGATGAAACCAAAATATAACTTTTTGGTAAAAACTCAACTCGTCGTGTTTGGAGGACAAAGAATGCTGAGTTGCATCCAAAGAACACCATACCTACTGTGAAGCATGGGGGTGGAAACATCATGCTTTGGGGCTGTTTTTCTGCAAAGGGACCAGGACGACTGATCCGTGTAAAGGAAAGAATGAATGGGGCCATGTATCGTGAGATTTTGAGTGAAAACCTCCTTCCATCAGCAAGGGCATTGAAGATGAAACGTGGCTGGGTCTTTCAGCATGACAATGATCCCAAACACACCGCCCGGGCAACGAAGGAGTGGCTTCGTAAGAAGCATTTCAAGGTCCTGGAGTGGCCTAGCC